CGATTAGTTTTATTTGTCTCTGATATTTTCTGTTTATGATTAACTATAATAAATAATAGTTACTTGAAATTATGTATAAAAAATCATCAAGTTCTAACAAATCTATAATTACTTAAAATTTGTCACCGGAGAACCTATCGCAACAACGATCCCAATGAAGTGGATTCCTCATGTTACTCGGGAGACTTTCTCTACCATAGCGTTTGAAGTGGCAGTGCAGGGAACTTTTCCAGTCCTTGTAGCACTTTGCTGCCTCCCTATCAACAACGGACCTCAGAATACCATTCTTATAGTTATAGTCCACGTTAAATCAGTCATTGCAAAACAGTTTCACATTGTTAAAACATATTGTTATGCTTAACTTTAGTATAAACTATACAAATTATTGCATAAAAAATACCAACATCCGGTTATGAATTGTCCTCTTGTCTATGTCGCTAATGTCCTTCCAAGCATAGTGGAAGGGCTCGCATATGTCCCTAGTATGAATACCAACTGCACTATCAAACCAGGCACCATATTTACCAAGCGCCTTCCAAGTACCTCCCACCTTATCAAATTCTACTGTGATTTTTCCGTCTTGAAGGACCTTTTGGGTGATTTCAGAACCTTTCGCCTAACCTCGACCTCTACGTTGTCGAGGTTCAGGTGCTGTAAGCATATGTAAGCATTTCAAATCAACATGTACTACTACATTTATTTACTATATGATAGAATGGGAAAAAAGTCAGAATAACATACCAGACTCACAGAATGCAGGGAGTCTGTGAGGACCGAAAGGAGGCTGTGCTCCCCCTGAAGAGCCAGCGCAAGTCGCTACCGAACCAGCCATGAATGCATGTGAACAAATTCATATTAATAACAATATTTATAAATTCACAGAAGATCATAATATTAAAACGAAATCTGAGAAAAACAATAATTAATATTCTTAAATTCTACTCATCGTCGCTGCTACATTGTTGGTTGTCGCCATCATCATTTATGTCATCATCATCTTCAGATTCGATGACTTCCTCCTCAACGTACTCCTATAAAGTTTCATCGTCCTTGTCATTAATAAAATCATCAACTACGGGAGACTTATCTTTCATAATTGCATCAACATCGGAGGTGACAACATTAGACGACACATCATGTCGATTTAATATAAATGAGTCAATCTTTGGTAGTTCTACCACTAACTCAATATTTGTAGACTCCGTATCCTGGACTATCATCACGTCATCAATGTCAGTTTTTGGAATGTCCCAAATATGTCGACGTCTAAAGTGTTCTACACCTTTTCAATTTGGACCGTTAAATAAATCGTCTACGTAAAAAACTTGCTCTGCTTGAGATGCAAGTATGAAAGGTTCATTTTCATACCACGTGTCTTTAACAAAAACACTTATTCTATTTTTGTAGTGTTGAATCCTTTTCTTCCCCGGACGAGTGTCAAACCACAGACATTTAAAAAGCACAACAGAATTGTCGTTCAAGTAGGACAATTCATAAATATCCTCTAAAACTCCATAATACGTTAGGTTATCAGGTCCACGAAAACAAACACCACTATTATGAGTACTTCGATTCATATCCCGATTGCGTATCAGAAACTTGACACCGTTCACCACATAACCAGGATAACTTCAACATGAGAAGCTTGAATCACTTGAAAGCGAAAGTATTTGATCATTCGCTTCTGGGCCATTCTGCTGTCGAATATTGAAAGCTGTAAGGAGACATGAATTCTGTTTAAAATGAAATTTTTAATGACTTAACAATGTTAATGCAAATTAATTATAAATGTACCTTATTCTTAAACCGTTTTGAAAACTCTTTTGATTGAATTTCATCCAATGGTATGGTTCGACCGCCGTCATCAATCTCCCTCTTATGGTCACTGTTTAACAGAGAATGAAAGTAAGGGACACGATTGTATGCGACACAATCAACGAACAATTAAGTAACAAAACTGAAAGTAGTACTTACTCAATGAATTGCTGAATTTCTGGATAGTTCTGTAGTACATACCACTCGGCTTTCTCTCGCAAATGAGTATCCAAAGTGATGGGGGTCATCTTCCCAATTGGCTGACAACTAGTTTCAAACACATAAAATCTTTTTAACAGTACGATCTTTATCGTCTACCCAATTTCTGGCCAATCGGTTAAACCGTGTTTCAACTCCAGTTAAATACAATGAACAAAAAGTCAGAGCTTCGTTCACAATGTATGCCTCAGCAATCGAACACTCAGGATGTGCACGATTCTTGACATATTTCTTTAACGATCCAAAAAAACGTTCAAATGGATACATCCATCTTAAGTGAACTGGTCCTCCTCGAATGGCTTCTTCAGACAAGTGTATAACTAAATGTACCATTATGTCA